AAGTTATCGGTGTGTGCGTCATCGTATGCCTGCATGTCTGCTCGCCAGGATTGGGAGGTGCGGCCGTACAACTCTGTATGCAGCGACCGTACAAACAGTGACCAATCATCAACCTCTGTTTGTTTAACCTAATCCCCCATCCTGATCATGAGTAGCTCCCTGCGTGTACACTTGATCCGCAATATACTTACTGAATAAACGTGCTCCGTGCTACACATCTGTTTCCTTTATAGCTGGGCTATAGCTTAGCTAGTTCTGGGAGTCTAGCTAGATGTAGGAGAATCTGCCATAGAGATTTCTGAGTCAGTCAGGCTTTACTAGCGTAGCAATCCGCTACAGGGGTTTTAGCAAATGCAACTTTTCGGTATTTTTCCTGGGGTGTTTTAAACATGGATAAAGGTAAAAATCTGATTGAATCCTTTCGTAGATAAGGGTCAAGATGGAATGACAGGATTTGCAGGTCCATGAGAGCCCTAAGGGAACTATAGTGAGAGAAAACATCCACTTGCCATAAGTTCTAAGTGACTTTATCAGCATTGACATAATCAGGCGCAAAATTCTCTTTTCTACCCATAGTTGGGGAAAAATAGTCAATTTTTTCCCATGCACCAATAAAATGAAAGTTTCCGATAATTCAGAATTTTGAGCGATTTGAAATTATTTTATTTTCTTTTTGCCAGTTGAAGTAGGCTTGCTATAAAACACAGAACTTGGTGCAAGCAAAACCGCCGGAAAACCTCTCCATTCTAGAGTTTTACATTTCATTCCATTCAATTAAGCTCATATTAATGTGGTTTAGTGCCACAGGGCTTTGATAAGGCAAGTATCAAAAGTATTTCTCATTGTCTAGAGTGGCACAGTTCTGTAAGTACCATTGCAACTCAGTTCAAGAGAACAAGATGTTATCTGGAAGAGTAATGCCTCACCGGATCAACAGGAGTACTAGATGAAGATCATATGAAAATGAAAAACAGCTTTGAAAGCACGTTCTTTAAACATTTCTCGTCAAAAAATTCAGAAGGTTCAGTTTTTGCGTATTTATAATGTTTAAGGACATACCCCACGTACAATACAATTGCCTATAATTGTCTCCCACAGTTACAAGTTTCCCAATTAATCAAGACGTAAATTAGATAAGGCGTGTTAGACTTTTGCTCCAACTCTCAATAATTGGCATAATATTGAACAAGCTTATTTGACAGTGACGTCAAATCAATAGTCGTATATTCAGCATTGATCAATGCTAATCCAATGGAATTCACGACAGCAAATAAGCATGGTTAGTAAAATGTGATTATTCGGAACTATGCCACTCAAGGTTAGCAAGTGAAAGCCTTTTCGAAGGGGTGAAATTGATGGACGATTGCCATAGTAACTATAGCTCCTACCTTAACAAACAGAGAAGGAAGACAAAAAGTGGGAAACCGAGGGTGAGTGCAGTGATGGTGTGGGTGAACATGGTTAAATGCGCTTTTTACCAGCAATAAGTAAATGTTCACAAATACGAATAGGTTAGTAGTCAATCACTATCAATCAAGTGAATCCAAATGGGGAAGGTTTGTTGACAGGGGAAATGAATTTGACCTCAATACTGCAGCATTTATCAAGGGTTCTAAAATTAGAGTCCTATCCAAAATATAGAACAGTCATTTGTAACTTAAAAAGTATTTGAAGAAATATAGGCAGAACGACAGTAATCACATCTAAACTAAATAATTTAACCTAATAAATTAACACAAACTGCAAATTTTTTTGCAATCATGGTGTTCAAATTGGGTGAAACTGTAATCAATCAAATAGGTAAGGCCTTGTATACAAACCCTGTCAAAAAAGTCTCCCCCCCCCTCCTTGGTATGGTCAGAGTAACCGTACTACTGTTAGTCACAAACTGTAAATACATTGTGGCGAAAAAAACGGGTTATGAGTTTGGTTGCGTCGATGTCTCAGTTAGGAGGGTGTGCAATAGACTTACCTCCACGTGGTGCACCCTGGGCAACGTATACTCATACGGCAAAAAAGTCTATTAACAGGCGGTTGACCTCTGACTTCAAACTACCATGGCCGACTGCTTGCCATATTCGACCCCTTTCACAGTACATATCTTACCTTTTTCTCTACCTTTGTGTCTGTCTGCCTTTTTTACATCTGTGAATTGCTCTTCTGTACCCCTCCTTCTCTCGACTTTCTTCCACTTTGATGAACCTTCCCTCTGTGAAGCCTGAAGTCAGCTAAATGGCTAATGATAGCTATCAAAACGCCTGCCATTTGAAATAAATAAATAAATATATGTCTCAGTTAGGTGTAACTAAAAAGCATAGTGCATAATCCATGAGCCTGTCATCACGGGCAAAAGGTGGGCCGATTTAGATATGGAAATAGTCCTCTACAGCTCCTCTCCTGTTAAATAGTAAAGCCAGTATGGTGCACCTTGGGCAACGTATGCTCATGTGACATACCTCCACGTGGTGCACCCTGGGCAACGTATACTCATGTGACAAAAAAGTCTATAAACCGGCAGTTGACTTCTGAGTTCAAGCTATCTTACCTCCACGTGGCGCACCCTGGGCAATGTATACTACACCTTACCTCCACGTGGTGCACCCTGGGCAACGTATTCTCATTCGGCTTACCTCCGTGGTGCACCCTGGGCAATGTATATTTAGACTTACCTCCACGTGGTGCACCCTGGGCACCGTATACTCATACGGCAAAAAAGTCTATTAACCGGCAGTTGTTGCGATAGACTTACCTCCACGCGGTGCACCCTGGGCAACCCACTCATACGGCAAAAAAGTCTATTAACCGGCAGTTGACTTATCACTTCTCATACGGCAAAAAAGTCTATTAATCGGCAGTTGACATCTTGACTTCTGACTTCAAACTACCATGACCCCACTGTATGTTACAAAGTATACTCATACGGCAAAAAGTCTATAAACCGGCAGTGGACTTCTGACTTCAAACTACCCTCACCCCACTATATGTCACAACTTCTCACTTCAAACTACCATCACCCCACTGTATGTCATTGTGTATGCGCATACGGCAAAAAAGTCTATAAACCGGCAGTTGATCTAACCCTAACACGGCAAAAAGTCTATAAACCGGCAGTTGACCTCTGACTTCAAACTACCATGACCCCACTGTATGTCATATTTGGGCAACAGACCTCATACGGCAAAAAGTCTATAAACCGCTGGGCAACGTATACTCATACGGCAAAAAAGTCTATTAAAGGCAGTTGACTTCTAACTTCAAACTACCATGACCCCATTGTGGCAGTTGACTTCTCACTTCAAACTACCATCACCCCATTGACGGGCAACGTATACTCATACGGCAAACAAGTCTATAAACCAATGGGCAACGTATACTCAAACGGCATACCTCCACGTGGTGCACCCTGGGCAACGTGTACTTACAACCTCCATGTGGTGCACCCTGGGCAACGTATACTTATGCGGAAAAAAGTCTATTGACTGGTAGTTGACTTCTCACTTCAAACTACCATCACCCCACTGTATAGTTGACCACTGACTTCAAACTACCATGACCCCACTGTATGCCTTGACTTCTGACTTCAAACTACCATGACCCCACTGTATGTTACAAAGTATACTCATACGGCAAAAAGTCTATAAACCGGCAGTGGACTTCTGACTTCAAACTACCCTCACCCCACTATATGTCACAACTTCTCACTTCAAACTACCATCACCCCACTGTATGTCATTGTGTATGCGCATACGGCAAAAAAGTCTATAAACCGGCAGTTGATCTAACCCTAACACGGCAAAAAGTCTATAAACCGGCAGTTGACCTCTGACTTCAAACTACCATGACCCCACTGTATGTCATATTTGGGCAACAGACCTCATACGGCAAAAAGTCTATAAACCGCTGGGCAACGTATACTCATACGGCAAAAAAGTCTATTAAAGGCAGTTGACTTCTAACTTCAAACTACCATGACCCCATTGTGGCAGTTGACTTCTCACTTCAAACTACCATCACCCCATTGACGCAGTTGACTTCTCACTTCAAACTACCATCACCTCACTCTGTGCCATATTCGAATATTTTTCACAGTGCTCACCCCACCTTTGTTCTACCTCTGTGTTTGTCTCTTGCATCTTTGAAACACTCTTCTGCTCCCCCCCCTGTCGACTTTTTCAATTTGATGATCCTTCCCCTCTGTGAAGCCTGAAGTCAACTAAATGGCTAATGATAACCATCAAGACGCCTGCCATTTGATATAAATAAATAAAGATTATGAAACACAAAACTTGTGTGCCAACAAGTATTGAAACCTCGAGTTCGTGATCGATTCCACATTTCCCTTTGAGTGATTTAACAATAAATGCAACCTCATCATTTTCTTGACTTGTGTGCAAACCATTTACTTTGTTTAAGCCCAAAAAACTAAAACTCTAGCAATGAATCTATAATAAATTAGAAATTATAGTAAAGTGATGATTTCTCCTCGCAATAAAGAAATCTATCAAAGGTTCGTTAATGAAAGATCCAGTTAGGAGGGAAACAAGGTGTACACTTCGACTAGTTTATTGATTTCACTCGTCTGTAAATTGAGGAGAGAATACATGATTGTAGGGAGGCGTTACAGTGGCAAAAAAACGGGGGTCAGGAAATAGAGGTCATAAGAAATAAATAATGAAGAGAAATGGACAGCTCGGATGGTCATCTTGGGTGCCTTTGTTTTCTCCTCCTCCCCCCCCCTCCCCTCATAAGTTTTGGTTGATTGATTGACTAGCTGGTAAACTGAAGGAATTGCTTTTGTCCCAAGACTTGCTTTGACAGACATCACAGATAATAAATGCGCTCTTAGACTTAGAAACATAGAGATAGTTCGTGTCAATAGAGACGGGTGGGGTAAAGAAAAAGGAATAATGGGGCAAAAATTGACAACATTCAATGAGGAGGAAAAGGGAGGAAATAAAACGGACACTCGTGGGAAGAAAATGTAGCATTAGGGGGTAATTTTACACAAAGACTGAGGGAGAATTGGAGTGCATGCCCAATATAGCTTGGGTGGCTTCTTGTTGCTGTTTCAAAACAAGTTGACTAGTGTATGCCTTTGGCTGAAGAACGCCAATAATCTCAGTATAATTGTTCTCACTTTCTTCACTCCCTTGAGTGTGAGACCGTGGTAACTGTTGCATCGATGCTGAGGAAGAACCTATATTTCAACAGAAAAATCATTGTTACTTAAATAAATTTGAGTAATATGACACAACATAGAGAAATATGCGTTAGCCCTAGAGATCACTTATTTTTAGATGAATGTCCATGAGAATTAAAACAATAGGAATATGAAGGGAAATCAAAGAGGATAGTCCAAACGATATCTCTAATTCCTTCTGAACTTTTGGAGGAAAATTGTTTAAAGAATTAAAGCAAGTCACATTTTTTTAGCTAAAAATGTTTGAGATCTGGTTGTGTCCAGACATATTGAAGGAAAGCACTCTTCAAGTCTATCACTGAGTAGACAAACTGCTCGATAGCATTTGTGGGCGATGAATTTCATTTTATTTTTTAAAGTTAAAACGTCCAACCCAAAAGCAAACAGACACTGTACATCGGTTTTCTTTGATAAGGGCTTAAACGCCTGCAAGGCCACTACCAGTGCCATCACAGTTTGCCGAGGTCCATTTTGGCTTAAACTACTGAAATCGGGCATTTGGTGACCCTAGTATTTCTCATGCAATGCATTAATCAATTTATACGAATACAAATTATTAGATAAAAGCTACTTATCTTATATAGTAGTCTGTAGTAAATGGTCTATAGTCTATATAGTAGCACATATAAGTGCTATAGTAGTCATCCGCAATTAGCACAACGATTAGATGAATTTTAATTAGCCTAAGGTTTTGTGTGCCAATCTAATAACATCAAACTTAAATAATTAAGCAAGTAATGAGTATTAAACAAATCACCAGGAGCAGGTCCACGCTTGAGTTTCGGAGCGGAACCAGTCCTTCCCATGGTGGCGAATTCCACAGTGTTTTTCCTGGGAGCACCACCACCACCCGGTGGCAGAGTAGATGGATTGAACGCCAACTCGGCGTACTCTACGCTACCTTGGTTAGCCCTGGTGGCGGCAGCTGTTGGAGGAAGTGATTGTGGTAAACGAGCCAGGAGTCCGCGGTGAGGTGATTCCTGGTCCATGTCGCCTCTGTTTGCAGCCACTATAGAGGAGCGAAGCTCGTGCAACTTTCGATTCGTCTGCGATGCAAAGGGAGAAGAGAAAAGTGGCAAAAAGTTACAATGAGGTGATGGTATTCGCATTAGAAATTACTAAACTGGGGTGGAAGGGAGGGTGGGTGGCGTTTTTGCGAATTAATAGGAGATTTAGTATGCCATGACGATCTGTTGAGGAAAACTGAATATTGATTATTGCCTGGGGGTTGAGGGAAAGGGTGGTGGTATTCGAATGAAATTGCCCACTTATACCCTCACCTGCCTGTTCAGTATCTCAAATAAGGAACTAAGAAAACGCCCCTCCTATTATATATTTTAATTATCCTTGCCTATTCGTTGATTGTTCTTCTGATATAAACAAAATTGATCTGGGAAGTAGAAGGCATAGCGACTGCGGTGCTTGGTTGGGCATCCAAGTAAGCCGGTGACATAAACTACTGACCACGGTTAGTAAAAGTCCGTTTGCTTTTTTGAAAAGAGTGTTTTTATGGCGGCGGTGGTGGTGGTCTAAGTGCATAAATCATTGCCAACCTGAAGTTTACAATTTAACAAGAGAGAGAGTTTTCGAAGAGTGATCCGTGCTATCAAGGGTGCAGCGCGTTATATGAGATAAAGTAGAGAGCACATGCATTATTAACACCACAAAAAGACCAGCACGCACAACACAACTGAGCTTGACTGCGAAGTTGAGTAGTTCAAGGAGTTTATTTTGGCAAGCTAGAAAGCCAAAGGGAGGAGAAGTGGAAACGTCAAAAAAGCGACAAAATGAAAATAGAATACCGGTCGGCGGGTCTAGTGGTGCTATCAAGTTCACTAAGTGTAAGTTGACAACAGGCATCGATAAAGTGGCCTTAATTCAAAAGAATGCATTTCAAGCCTCGCACACGACTCTTGACAACCTTAAGAGGGTCCAACAAGAAGGATGCAAATTCCGTGTAAAGCAATGAAATCAATTAAAAATATCGAACTCAAATTAGACGGAATCTTAACACCTCATCGTTAGTTGTACAATGCCGAAATTTACTAAAACTGAGACAAAGTTCATATTGGGAAAAAACTCTATTTTTGAGATTTGACGAACAACGACCTTCTTAAACTAAAGGATTTTATACAGAGCATACTTTATTCGTAACTAAATGCTTAGTTCGAGCACCCTAAAAGTAACAGAAAAGTCGGTTAACAAAGGACTGAATAAACACAAGGCAATGATCTGCTTGTCTGAGTTTTTCGAACTTTTTTAAGGGGTTTCAGTTAAGTTAGTGTTCAACATTCTAAAACCCTAAAAACAACAGCAGAAACTTTAAGATTTAAAAATTAAGGAAAATAAATAAATTGCAGTGTGGATTTGGGGCTCCAAATTAAATTACAAAGTCCAAATTCCTGAGCTCTCGCAAGTTAACCAAGAATTTAACCGAATTTGTGTGGATGAAAGTTCAAGTCCTCTCACTTATCAAGGGGAAAGTTAAAGCAAAAAATCACTACAACTTGAAATTTAAACCAACTCGCTAAAACGTGATAACCAATAAAAAGGTACTTTGAAGGCTCGCACATTCCAACTAAAAGGCAAATTCAGACAAAAACGCCTTTAAAGATTAATGTAGATAGTAGTAAACGATTTGGTTAAGCTAATTGGTGTGGCAAACAATTTAGACACACACACACACACACACAAAGGAGAAAAGGGGAAAAGAGAAAACATGTTTGTTTCCTCAAGTTTTGCTAGGGTAAGTAACCAAATGCTAAATCCTGCCTGAATCATGTGGCCTTTTGAGGTCACGGTCGAAGTTGGGGGGGGGGGGGGGGGGGGGGGGGGAGAGGCTGTGACAAGTAGATAAATACGATGTTTTTATTGGTGTTTTTTCACGAATTTCACGTGTAGAAAAAGTTGGCATTTGCAAGCACTACTAGGAGAAGAAAAGGAACTAGATTAGACATTCCTTGCATAACCTTAATGCGAAACACTACTATTCGTTCAATAAGTAATGCAGCAAGCCCTTATTTATGCAATTGCATTAGCAGAACAGCTTAACAATTCTCAGTCCTGATATAGCTTCCAAACTTGCAGAAATAGACGGGTCGAGTCGGTGAACCAACAGAGCCCTATTTTTTCCAGAATCCAGAGCCTTTTCATTACCATTTTATTCTTACAATAATTCTAAATAATACTATTCCATGTTAATTATGTAGCCATACTTCTACCATATTGTCCATCGACTGGACTAAGGCTCTCTAGCAGTTGCTGGTTCAATCTGCCTTCGTCATCGTATCACAGAGTTGATGGTTCTTAGGAACCCCACACGTATAACTGAATGAAAACTAAATGGATTTCAATATTTGTTTACGGGGTACGCGATAGACTTTCGTCCATGTGGTGCACCCTGGGCAACGTGTACTCATACGGCAAAAAAGCATTAATCGGCAGCTGACTTCTCACTTCTAACTACCATCACCCCACTGTATGTCATATTCGACTACTTTCACAGTACTCATCTCACCTTTTTCTACGTTTTTGTCTGTCCCTTTTACATCTGTGAATCACTCTTCTGGTCCTCCTCTCGAATTTTTTCACTTTGATGTTACCTTCCCTCTGTGAAGCCCGAAGTCAACTAAGGGGCTAATGATAACAATCAAAATGCCTGCAATTTGAAATAAATAAATATTTGTTCATAAGAGATCTTGATCAATACTGGTAGGATAGCAAGTGAAAACCATACAAGAAAATTTGGATGATGGCGTTCAGAACTTACCCTTGGAGCAAATAATAATGGATATCAATTTGACGGAGAGAGGGGAAATAGAGAATATAACGAAAAATTGAAAATCGGATGAAGTAGGATGTTCGTTTCACTCGCAGCAAACAGCAAAAAATGCCAAAAAAGCGAGCTAACGGAAACAAAAGTGACTCGGAGATTAAATTTCTGATCCCAAAACCGATTGAGCATTCAAGAGAGGAGAACACTGCTCGCAATAAAGAGAGAGCGAGATATCGTATTTCACTTTATTATGCCAACACTGAAACATCGCTTACTGGTAGATAATTGAGTACTCATATTGCAATAAAACCATCTAAGAATTTGTCATACGCAGTTTTTTGTTTCAAGAAAAATGCAGAAGTTTGGGGGGGGGGGGGGAGATCATTATAGAGAAGGATGAGAAGATAATGGTGGTAGTGATGGTGGTTTATGTGCGGATAATCTATAAAGTAACATGTGATCCAAGTGAGTAAGATAGTGAGTCATAGGTGCTATTAGTTCTGTCTGTATTTGGAAGTCATTTGTTTAGCTATTCGCTTATTTGAAGTGGAAGTACATATCCCTCATTAGCACTGAGTAATACGCAACACCTCTTCCTCCTCCTCTTCCCGCGAATTAGGGGGAGGACCTTTCACAGTTAAATCTCGGTTCAGCAGCTGACGCTGCTGTTGGTGGTGTTGATGATGATAGTGCGATTGCTAAGGTGGTCAAGGTCGTAGTAATATATAGAGAGGAGGTGGTAAAGAGAACGCATGCAGAACATAGGGGTATGGTACAGTGATATATGACATGGTCATGCAGATACGTGCATAGGCATAACAACAACAGACCGATCAATATATCGATTTCGCCATACCCCAAAGAAGACAAAGTGAGAGACAAAGGCAGCCATCGAAAGATGATCATGAAGATGAGGTGGATTGGTTGAGAGGAGGAGGAAACATAATAGAAGAGACAAAAAATACAAAGTTAGAAAAAACAAAGATCAAAAATTACTGGAACAAAATCAAGATTATATAACGTTATGATCTTCATAATTGCGACAATGTAAGCATTAAAGCCCCAATGAGAGTTGAATTTCGAATGGCTGCCTTTGTTCTAGTAGTTTTACAAACAACCTGCTTAGTGAAACAACACAAAGAGGAACAAAGCAGATTAACTATGAAAGGTAATATGGCGTGATATTTCATTTCAGTCGTTTCTGCAGCCTTATAGATTGAAGACTTGAAAACCAATGATGAACGGTCAATTAGCGAAATTACTAGCCACCAATAGCGAACAATCGATAAAGGTCCATTGGATACTCTGAAGCGTTTCCTTTACTCCTGTTGGAATAAACACCGAAATCTGCCGCAATTCCTCAATGAGAAGATTCAACGAAATTAAAGAATTTCAAAAAAAAAATGAATTCCTGACTAATGAGATTATTGAGGAGGGGTGGTAAGAGGGATTCAAAATATGCCACTAAACACCGGCATATAATATTCACTGGGCAGAAAGCGAGATTTCCGAACAAAAAATCACGGATTAAATTATAAAGAGAGGAAGAACAGAATTGGGCAATAAAAATTCTGCAAATTTAACTTAAAGACAAAAGAATAGATCTCGTCAAAAACGCCAAAAACTTTTCACGATTTTTCAAAAAATCAATTCTTCCATTACAAAAATAATGTCGGTTCAAGGAACGCATTTTGAAATTGAAGACACCGCATTACAGGGATCCAACTTGTTACTCAGAAACCAGTTCCACAGTAGAAAACATTTACGAGCGCTAAACGGGGGCGGGGAGGGGGGGGGAGACGTGAGAGAATAAAAGAGCTAAAAATTAAATCATTCCCGGCCTCCTTCTATAGAGGCAATACCGATTGGAAAAAAATTCTATTCGGGACAAGACAATCAATTCTTGGCACTCTATGGCTAATCACAAGCAAATGTAAATAGGAATTTCGCATGCTCAGAAATTCAGTCAAATTCACAAACTTAGACGGATAGGTGCTAAATTAAACTCACTAAAGGCGGAATGGATTCACGTCGCTATGGTAACGATGAAAACACAATTGGGTTATCATTTTGAGGAAAAATACAAAAGGACTAGATAGGGTAAAACAGAGGTAGATGCAGACACACACACACACACCAAAACACATGCAAAGATTTGAACTGATCTATCTAGACATTCGAAATGGAATTTAACAGGGAATATCCAATCAGATAACAGTGTATGAGAAGGCAAGAGCACTGATTGGCCTTACTAAGTAAGCTGAGCTATTGTCTTTTGCTGTTCTTTGCCCAACAGCATTATAAAAACACGACTTAAAACAGAGGTATCCGGCC